CTGTATTCAAAAGCTACAAAAGAAATCAACCGTGTGGATCTGATCATCTTCTCTGCTGCTGTATCAGACTCTGCTCTGTACTACTGTGCTCTGGAGAACAGAGTCAAAGGAAACACCACAATACAGTGCAGAAAACTGATTCACAGTATTGCATCTACATCCCACATATCCAACCCCCATATCTGCTAGTTAACACAAGGGTTAACGCCCCTCTATAAAGCACCATATATTATTGCATGCATGGATTGTTAATTTAGATGCATTTGCTTTTTCCCAGGTTGCGAGGAAGGAGGGGCTTAAAGTATATCTGACAGTAGTTGTTGAAGCCGACATAAAATAATTTAATCTGAGACTGAAAGCACAAACACAATGATACTTCATTCAGTTATTCTGCTCTCTGCTTTAGCATGTAAGTACCATTGTTTTTTTTAAATGCATTACCTTTATAATTGCAGTTAAGTATGTACTGTATGAAGCATAATTTTATTATTCGGGGACTTATTATATAAAAGTGCACTAAAAGTAAAGGAACTATTTCAATTCTTCCATTTTATCAGTATAGTCCCCTTTGAGACTAAAAGGACAAAACTAACATTTAACATTTATTTGCAGGTGCCAGTAACGGAGATACTATTACATCAGACAAAACAGTGGAGTTTGTTGCAGAGGGTTCAAATGCTACATTATCCTGCAGTTATTCATCTGCATGGTCTTTACTTTGGTACCGTCAGTATCCCAGATCAGCTCCTGAGTTCCTTGTGCTCATCTCAGACAGTGCAAAACAAGCTCAGACGTCTGATGTAGATCAAAGATTCAGTTCTAAAATCAGAAAAGAAAAACAAAATCATGTGGATCTGAAGATCTCCTCTGCAGCTCTGAAAGACTCTGCTCTGTACTACTGTGCGCTGAGGCCCACAGTGACAGGAAACAAAAGTACGCTGTACAAAAACCTGACTCTAAAAGGAAACAACGGTCTTCTACAGACCCTTAAATCTTGAATTACTGTTTATCCAGACCCCCCTCTGGTATATCTAAGTATTGCGCCCATCCAGAGGAACCACAACTTTGAGCATTTTTGAAATGCAAACTCGTGATTATAGTAGGTAGAAAAGTGTCTAAAAATTTTTTTGCATACACAAATGTGGTCAATACACAATCAAGGCACAACTTCTTCAGATCATTTACTTTAACACTGAAAGGAAGAAACAGGTACATTATGCCCATTGGTATTTCCAGTAACTAAATGGCTTAATAGAGAGAGACGAGTAGTGGGGTTCAAGCATGTTTTCAAAAAATATTTTCAGTTTAATTATTATTTAGTGAAAAATGGTTTCCAAAGTAACTTTACGCAATTTTAAACGTCATCCACAAGGGGTCAGCCTTGCTCTCTCCATGTATGAGTGTATCATGTGACATGATACAAACCTTTAAAGAAGAGCACTATGGGATAAACATAGAGCTTTTGAGAGCACAGTTGAGTGAGTGAATGTTTGTTCATAGATCAACTATGTTTAGATGGGCTTTGATTTCCCTGTGTTTCACAGCACATTATGATGGTAAGCAAGCACATCTGTATAGGCCTGCTTAATAAGAAAAGGGTTTACATACATTCAGGTCAATACATTTTAAGTATACTTACCTAAAAATTTGTGTAAACTTACCTTTTTTCTGTCTATTTTTCCAGTGTCCTCGGGACAGGACAGGGTTGAACAGTCTCCAGGAGAAATAACTGAAAGTGAAGGAGCTCAAGTTATTTTGATGTGTAATTATACTACTACTTCTACAACTCCATTCCATTTCTGGTACAAACAGCTACCAAACAGATCACCAACATTCATTCTGAATCAATACACCACTGAGCCTGATTTTACGAAGCAATTTTCTGCAACACTGAACTCCACATCAAGAACATTTCCACTGATGATCAAGGATGTGCGTGTGTCTGACTCTGCTGTGTACTACTGTGATCTGAGGCCCACAGTGACTGAAACACACTCAACACTCACACAAAAACTTTTAGGGCCCACTTAAAGTCTGTGTGCACAGAACTCTACATAAAGCTCCACAGAATTGGAATGGTACCAGTAGCAGTCCTTTTAGTTCTATTTAACACATTTGAACCAAGTTGAAATCCATTTCACAATTCCACAAGTTAGAACTGTAGTGCTGTAAACTACTCGTATATTGCTTTCATATTCTTTCACTTATTCACTGCAGTTACACTGAGAGATAGGATGAGTCTGTGGAGATTTGAAAAAGAGCAAATGATCACTCAACTTTATTTGCCTCTCACAGTGCAAACATTATGATTCTTTGTGCTCTGATTCTACTATTGTTGTAAAAGTAAGTGGCATTAACTGATATTTGGCTTTTAGGTATTTACATGAAAAATAATTAAGCCAGGGTTATAAATGTCTGGATCTTTGATAACATTTACATGTATGCTTAGGAAATTCATTCATTTACCAGTTGTGCAGTGCAAACCTGCATGATCAAGGTGCCTTATAATATATAGCAGAAGATAATGACACTCTATTTCAGGAGAACTGTCACTCTGAAATGTTAACAAAATCAGTTCCTGTGACAATCATGGATGTGTGTGTGTGTGTGTGTGTGTCTCTGCTGTGTACTACTTTGATATGCAGCTCATTGTGAAACACACTCAAAACTGAAACACAAAAACAGACCTCTGTCCCATGACAATAATAATAATTTTAAAAAATGAATAAGAATTTTTAATTATTTAGTGCTCATCACTATAAATTAAAATTTTACATAAGGTCTATGCACCATAACATGCTCTTCATAATCTTCTGTGGACCTGCATAAGCAGATCTCACATTTATTTAGTCTAAATGTAATGTTTGGTTTAAAACGTGTAGATATGAGTGGGGTTTTTGTTAGCATCAGACTGGAAGAGGAGGAGTTTGGCACATAGATGTACTACATTCGCCATGTTGTCATTGCCACGTGACCTACTAGCATCAGTTTCGTTGTGCCACTGCTATTCATAAATCCTCTCCAGTGGCCTCATGGGATAGTAAAGTGTCCATCATATGCACACTTCAGAATCACGCCAGAAGCAGTAGGGCATCAGGGTACTTTTTGCCTACTCTTTGATGAGTACTGTGAATTCGGACATACTTCATTTGTAACATACTGTCCAGGGCTGTACGTTAACAGAACAACTATGTTTAGATGGGCTTTGATTTATCTGTGTTTTATAGCACATTATTATGGTAAGAATTTTTTTTCTGTTTCTGTATACTTTAAAAGAAAAGGCTTTACTACTTACATTCAGGTTACTAAACGTTTAAGTTCAATGCTAATAATTCATGTTAATGACTTGTTTTTTTTCTTTTCGGTCTATTTTTCTAGTGTCTTCGGGACAGGACAGTGTTGAACAGTCTTCAAGAGAAATGCCTGCAAATGAAGGAGCTCAAGTTATTTTAATATGTAATTATACTACTTCTACAACTCCATATCTCTTCTGGTACAAACAGCTACCAAACAGATCACCAACATTCATCCTGAATCAATACACTACTGAGCCTGATTTTAAGAAGAGATTTTCAGCAACATTAGACTCCACATCGAAAACATTTCCACTGACAATCAAGAATCTGCGTGTGTCTGACTCTGCTGTGTACTACTGTGCTCTGAGGCCCACAGTGACTGAAGCACACTCAACACTCATACAAAACCATGGGAAGTGCTCAATTTTATGTTGAGGTGCAAATCCAGATACTATTGACTTCTGGCCCATGACAATAACATGCGTGTAATTAAAAATAAATACAATTTTAATTTAGTGCTGTGCAAAGCGCATTTCATCTATTGATCACTATACATTTTAGTTTTACATAAGGTGTATGTGCAGTATACACAGACAATACACGATACTGGGTTCACAAGAATTTTAACACTATTTTTAAGAAATCTTCAATCACAAAATATAGTCTTTTATTCAACAGAAAGGCAAAAAAAAAAGAAGCAACACAAAGCAGGTGCATTTTGAAATGTTTTAACTAATCATCTGATAATGAATGTCACTTCAGTTCTACTTTCTGTGTATGAATTTTCACATGCAGTTAAAGACAGAACAATATCCAAACACTGTAAAAGGCTTTATCACAAACTCAACTGACTTGTTCTCTCTTGTGTGATTTCACATGAATATTTTCAGATCTTATAACTGTGCATGATCTACGCATTAGCTTCTAACTTCTGACTGAAGCTGTGTGACCTTCTAACTGAACTCCTTTCCACAAACTGAATATAAAAATGTAGGCTATTTGAATGCTCTGACAAAACTGCTATTACTACTACTACTACTACTACTACTACTACTACAACACACACACACTACATTCTTCATGTTGTCATTGTCACTTGACCTATCAGTGTCAGTTGAGTATACACACAAGTACACCTCTTCTTCCTCACATTTCCAGGAGTTAATAAGAGCCAAAGCATTGACATTGACAGGAGGCTCATCTACACTTTATAATCAACATTTAAGTATTAAATAAGAGCAGTTTCCAGTTCACTACAACTGAAAACAAATGCTACTATCATACTTAAATGGACAATATACATCCCAGGTGTCTGATTATGTGATTAAAACTGTTAGATATCACAGAGAAAGTATGTGACTGAAATACACTTAACAATCAAACAAAATGCTAGAATACTAGAATTTGTATCTGCACATCAAGCACATTAGGCACAATCTCATCTCACATATTTGAATCAATGTAAATCTGACTATGTGTAAAAACTAAATTTTCTATTCCCTACATTAAGGGTATGGAAGATTTAACCATATTCCTGTCTCTTTGCACACATACATATGTACAGAATGTAAATGTGTTAGATGGGAAGAGGGAAGTGTAGACACACCACCTAAAATCATATTTTAATTTCCTTTTTTATGTTTAAACTCTCCTCCCTTATCTTTTTCTACTGTTATAGTCAACACATTAAAAATGATAACTCAAATGTTGTTCAGTGTATTCATGTTTGCATCTGTTTATCATGGTAAGTGGGGGAATTTGTAATTTGTTAATGGTTTAACACCCTTATAGTTACAATATTTACAGTTTTATCATAACATGTTTTCATGTTTTTACAGAGTGTCATGGAGAAGACAGTGCTGATCAGCTAGATAAACACATCGCTGAATTTGAAGGAAGATCAGTAACATTACAATGCAAATATAAAACAGCTTCATCACAACCAGAACTTTTCTGGTACATCCAGAGAGCAAATGACTTTCCTAAATACATGCTGAGGAGAAACAAATTTGGAGCAAAAGATAATGATGCTCAGTTTCAGGAGAGATTTCATTCTGAAGTGTCCTCAGATTCAGTTCCACTGATGATCAAGAATCTGCGTGTGTCTGACTCTGCTGTGTACTACTGTGCTCTGCCGCCCACAGTGACTGAAACACACTCAACACTCACATAAAAACAGAGCAAGTGCTCAAGTATATGACAAGGTGCAAATCCACATGCTATTTACTTCTGTCCCACAATAATAACATGAATATAATAAAAAAAAACAGAATCATTTAGTTAGTGCTGTGCAAAGTGAATGTCATCAAATTTATGAGATCTAAAGTATTAATAAAGTATGAGGAATAATGTAGTTCATATTCTGTTTGTTGTGTTCTGAGGACTGACAGAGTTAGTAAGTAACCACAAGAGGGTACAATAGGATATGAATAGTAATCAAATGCCTCAGTGGTGTATGAAACAGATCTGGGGCCATATGTATAAAGCCGCTCAGAGTAAAAATGTTGTCCTAAGTGTGTCAAAATTCTAAGAATGACGTATTTTTACTCTTATTCCTAGACTTAAGAATAAGAGTGATTCATAAAGGTTCCTAAGTGTTAAGACTAGGTCTCAGCTCCTAAATTATTTAAGAGAGCTGAAGAGGTCTCCTAACCTAGTTAGGAATAACAAGATGGCAGCAAACAGGAGGAGACACACACTGTCCGATGAAGATATGACGCATTGGAGTTATATGATGATATGGAGTTGATAAAATGATACAAACTTGACCATCAAGATAGTCAATTCTTTCTGTAACTGACCAAGTAAGAAATTTAATAACTTCTTCCACTCTACAAATCAATGCTCTAGCTGCAGAAATGAAAGTAGCAATTACATTTTTTGGCTGGAAAACTGGAAAAATGCAGCAATGCACTGGTGAGTACACAGTAAGCAGGGTCTTAACTATTGTGGCACTAACCTCACCAAACAAAACAGTGGTCAAAAGTGATGTGTGAAGTTTTTTTTTATTTTAATTTTTTATGACCCTACATTTCAATTAAACCATCAAAATATGAGGGGGAAAAAACACTGACCAGTGCTGCCAACTGCTTTCAATTGAAAGCAGTTAAAACAGCTGCTAAATGTTGCTAGATTATGTCATAATGGCGAGTTCACTGATCTATATAAATATAAATATAGATCAGTGGGAAAGTCTTTGAATCTAGATAAGGTTTGTCCAAGAAATAGATTTTGCTAGGCTTTTGAAAAAATCTCAAAAGGGGTGAGGAAGTCACTAAATTGGCAACACTGACATTGACTACAACATAATCAGTTGTTAATATTTCATTGGTCCTGTCTTGTTTTTGCATGTGTTCTTAATTTCTTTGTTTGCCAGAATGCCAAAAAATAATGCCGCCAT